TTGGCATGGTTCTGGTCATTGCAGCCATCTGGGGAGTAAACCAGCAGTTGGAAGACCCCTCCCCCTCTCTGCCTCTCTGTAACTCTGCCTTTCAAACAAACAAACAAATAAATAAATCTTTAAGAAAAAATAGAATCATGAAGTGAGCTATGGAGGATCACAAATGCAAAGCTTTATTTTCTCACATTTCCCACTCCACAAAGCAGTATGTGTTTCCAACTAGGAGACTCACTTGAGCTTCAGGTGTCTATAGTTCTTATTTGGGTTTCATTATGCATGTATGATTGATGGAATCATTTGCCACAGTGTTGGGCTCACATCTCTAGACCCCATCAACTCTCCCAAAGTCAGGCTGATACCCTTTAATCTCATCATTGATCTTTCTGTGTGGCCATTCCTGATCTTGAATTGTATCTTTAAAATTATCTGGGGGTCCACCTTGAGGCACCTTTGTTGACATAAACTGTCAGGGCTCACCATGAATAACAGTGGCATTTCTGCCGCAGGAGAAATTACAAGGATTTAAATGCTGTATCCCAAGAACTGGGGACAAAAGTCAGCCAAATTCTTCAGTGCAGTCATGTGTTAGGATAGGTAAGCAGATTTTTCACACAAAATAAACGTTATAATCTGGTTATAGAAGAGTGTATATTATTTCAGAAGTAACTAATCCATAGTGAGTTTAATATTGAGTAGAAGAATGATAGTCAAAATATGAGGGACAGATAGGACATTCTAGATAAAGAATGTGTCCAAAGGTATACACACACTAAAGGACATATTTTAGAAAAATGATAAATAGTTTTGAGTAACTTGATTGTAGGGGATGTTAAGGGATACATATGGCTAGATAACACAATAAAGTAATTAGTAACATCTACTGAATGGTCATTTTGTGTTAGCCAATGTGTAAGAGTTCTCTATGTGCATTAATTTAATCTTCACAAGAATCCTTTAGGTAAGTATTATTAATCGTAACTTTATGAATGGAAGGTTGAGGCACACAGAGATTTATGGGTGGCTCAGAGTTGCCTAGTTGGGAACTGATAAAATGAAAGTCTAGGTTATATAATTCTAGGCTTAATCCTTCAATCACTATAGTGTTGCTTCCCTGCATGCCACACTGAAGAAATTGGACTTTATTGGGGGCTGGAGCTTTAGTGTAGTAGGCTAAACCTTTGCCTGTGGAACCAGCATCCCATATGGATGCAAGTTGAGTCCTGCTGCTCTACTTCCAATCCAGCTCTCGGCTAATGGCCTGGGAAAGCAGCGAAAGTTGATGCAAGTGCTTGGGCCCCTCTACCCGTGTGGGAAACCTGGAAGAAAACTCCTGGCTCCTGGCTTTGGGGCTCCACAGCTCTGGCTGTTGCAGTGATTTGAAGAGTGAACAAGTGGGTGGAAGACCTTCATCTCTGTGTCTCCCTCTCTCTGTCTGTAACTCTGCCTCTCAAATAAGTAAATAAATAAACCTTTAAAAAGAATAAATTGGACTTTCTCATGTAGGCAAAATTTGTTGTAATGTGGAGAATGGATTGAAATGAAGAAGTGTTACTTCTCATGTGTGTTACCCAATTGTAGGCTGAATGTTGTGTTTGGAAACTCATAGGTAATAATAATTTGAGTTTAGATTCTATATTCCTGCAGAGTTCCTGGGGATGCTAGTAAGTGACATTCAACTTAATCCAAATTCAGGTTGTGGTGATTCATACCTAAACTGCAGGGTAATCCTTTGGAAGTCTTGACTTTATAATAGTTTCCTTCTTTATCTTATCTAGTTGCTGGGGTCCCAGTTCAAAGAGTCCTAGATTCCTCTTTGTGTTTTCCTAGCTCTGTAAAACCCTTGAAATTATCACCCAGTTTCTTTTTTATATTTAAAAAATTTTTAAATATGTAATTATTATTTGGAAGTTATATATAGAGAGGGAGAGACAGAGAGGTCTTCTATCCAGTTGTTCACTCTCCAGGTGGACACAATGGCTAGAACTGAGCCAGGCCAAAGCCAGGAGCTTTATCCAGGGGTCTCATGTAGGTGGCAGGATCCCAAGACTTGGGCCATCTTGCACTGCTTTTCCCAGGCTATTAGTAAGGAGCTGGATTGGAAGTAGAACAGCTGGGATTTGAACTGGTGTCCTTATGGGATGCTGGCATTGCAGGTGGTGATTTTACCTGCTACACCACAACACCAACCCCAGTGTTTGTTTTGAAACTTATTTAAGGGGGGGGGAGGGAGAGGGAGAGGTGGAGAGGGGGAGGGGGAGGGGGAGTGGGGGAGAGAGAGAGGGAGAGGAGGAGGGGGGGAGAGGGAGAGATATCTAACTCCTTTATCTGCTGATTCACTTCCAAGTCCCTGCAATAGCCAGAACTGGGACAGGCCAAAGCCAAGATCCCAGAACTCCATCCTTGTTTTCCAAATGTAGAAGCACTTGATCTGTCATCTGCTCTTCCCAGAATGCAGTAGCAGGAACCCTAATTGGAAGTTGAGTAGCTGGTACCTGCACCAGCATTCTAATAAGGGGTGTAGGTGTCCCAGGTGTCAGGTTAACCTTCTGGGCCACAATGCCTGCCCTTCAGATCTCACCTCCGACTTTCATACGCACTGATTTGAGAGGGAGAGGGAGAGAGAGGGAGTGTGCAAGTGTGTATGTGCATGTGCCAAATGGAGCTCCCTTCTACTCATCTCTGCTTAAATGTCCAGAGGAGTTGGACTGGACCAGTCTGAATCTGGGAGCCAGAAACTCAGTGTCAGAGACCCAGGAATTAGAGCCATCACCTGTTGCCTCCTGTGGTGCACATCAGCGGGAAGATATAATCAGGAGCAGAGTTAGGACTCAAACCCAGGCACTCTGATGTGGGATATAGGTGTCTTAATCTCTAAGCTAAATACCTGCGCCTTACCATCAACTTTGAAATCAGCAAATGCTTATAGACACGGTGACTTCACACCTGGACTCAACTGGTTAGTTCTGTAATAGCTTAAAGGTGATTTTTTTTGTTTTTATGTAATTTTTCTGATTTTCCAGTTTACACATTGAATTCTGTTGGTCCAGATTGTCTGGTGTGTTATAAGCAGAAATTTCCTTTTGTTTATTGGTTTTAAAACACTTAAACAAGCAAATATTTCTTGTTTGTTTTAGAGACAAGCTAGTTAGATTTGTTGTAAATCCTGGGACTGTTATTTTTAAAAAAGTACTTATTTTGATGTAATCTCATTACAATGAAAAATATGAATGTGTAACTAAGGCTGGTATTTTAGAATTTGAATTCTATTGACTGTTTCCTTTTAAATTCTTTTGTTTCCTTACAAACATAACCAAGATATAATAATTACTAAGGCAGTAAATCAAGTGTTGATTACTTTTTAACTTGTTTGAATTTGAGTATGTGTTTGCAAAATAAACTATTTGACTAAGATTTCATTTGTGTCAAGTATGATTTGAATGTGGGAATTCAGTGCCTAGTGGTTCCTAAACTTAAATTTCACTTTGTCTAAAGGATAGGATTATTTTGAGTTGTGTATTTTGTTTGTTAGGAGCTTCTTTTCTTTCTGTTAGTGCATGTTTTCACAGATGTAGAGAGGGCATTATGGTATAACTGAAAGAAGATATGTAATTTTCCCTCAAGCATAAAGAAGTTTGAAAAGTACAGTTCCTAACTTAGAACTCTTGCCTTTGGCCATTTTTATGTTCTCCTGTATAGTTAATTTTCTTTTGTGTGCATATGGATTTAAGTGGAATGGTTATATATCCATGTACTTTGCACAAATATGAAAAAGTTTAAAAAAACAAAAGGCAAGGGGTGGGCGTTTGGCACACTGGTTAAGGTGCTGTTTGGGCTGCCTACATACCGTGTTGTGTCTGAGTTCCAGTCCTCGCTCTGCTTCCAATAAAGCTTCCTGCTGATGCACACCCTGGGTGCAGCAGGTGATAGCTTGAGTATTGGGTTCCAGCCACCTGTGTGGGAGAAACAGAGGGAGTTCCAGACCTTGGTTTCCACCTGCCCAGCCCTGGCTATTGTGTGCATTTCAGATGTGGGGCAGTGGATGAAGATTAAAAAAAATATTTATTTATTTGAAAGTCAGAGTTACACACACACACACAGAGAGAGATAGAGATAGAGAGAGATTGATCGATCATCCCTCCGCTGGTTCACTCACCAGTTGGCCTCAGTGGCTGGAGCTGCACTGATCTGAAGCCAGTAGCCAGGAGCCTCCTCCTGGTCTCCCACACAGTTGTAGAGTCCCAAGGATCTGGGTCATCTTTTACTGATTTCTCAGGCCATAGCAGAGAGCTGGATCCGAAGTGGAGCAGCCGGGTCTTGAACCAGTGCCCATATGGGATGCCGGCTCTGCAGGTGGCACCTTTACCTGCTATGCCATAGTGCCAGCCCCAAGATCTCTCTATTTGTTGTCTGTTCCTCTCTGTTTCCCTGCCCTTTGAATAAATACATGTAAAGTCAAAAATTTCAAAAATATACTAAGAATATTCTATATATATAAAAAGGAAACACCAAAAGCATATATTTTAAAATTGCTCAATAGACCTAAGTTAGTGTGTTGGAAGTGTACAACTTTAATTCCATCATTATAATCAGCTGGTGTTCTAGCTTTATGAGAATTTGCAGCCAGTAGGAAAAAGTAAAGCTATAAGGTCACTTGTCAGAGTAGCAAGGTGGCTGTAAGTGAACTTTTTCCTATGAGTTAAATAGAAGATCACACTTCAGTAGTCTGATAGGATGGACAGCAGGACAACAGGGGGCATTGCAGTCCCCTTTTTGGTAGCATGAGGGTAGTTTGTAGCATGAAGGTAGAAGTCAATTTATTGAAAATAGTTGTAGAACTAATTGTGTTATGGATAGGGACTCATTTTAGATTTATTCTCTTTTTAGGTGTCCATTCTAATATACATGCTTAATGATACTGGTAAGAATATTTTTGAATAAATTTTATGTAGTTAAAGTCATATTACATTGATATATACAATATTCAATTTTCTTTCTTTTAGTGGTTTGATAGTCCCTGAAGTAAGGGGAAATGAAACTGTGCCTGAAGTTGTTACAACATCTGGCTATGCACTGTTACATTTTTTTAGTGATGCTGCATACAATTTGACTGGTTTCAACATTTTTTATTCGTGAGTATTTTTTTAAAAAAATTCCTCTTGTAGTAGATTCTTATAATTTTCCTTGAGAGTTTGTTTTTTGTTTATATAAATGTCTTATGTATCAGGAGCAGATTAAATGTCAAATTATACAGTTAAACATCAAATTATACAGTGACATGAAATCTTACGAAGCTGCAAAATTCTAAGCCTATATCAGGATAATTTCTGAGTCTGAAGAGATTGTACTAGCAAGTTGTTTCGTTGAAAATTAATTAAAAAATTAAAAATTTCTTGTTGGCCAATGATAAAGTGAACAATTACAAACCTGTGTTACTTTACTGGTAGCAACAGAGGTGTGGAGTTTCAGAGAGTCCTGAACTGCCTTTCTGTGCTGTAAAGTATTTGACTTTGAACTTGCAGAGGAGCCTAGGAGCCCCGTTTTCATAGCCCTTTCCTCTTCTGGAGACTCTCCTGTATGATCTGCTTTCATTACGTTGTTTAATTGCCATCGGGCAAATTCTCTCAGGTGGCTGTTTTTTCCATTTCACACATAAGAAAAGTAAAGCTTAGGAGATAAATAAGTGGCTATTTCGGTTTCTCCTCTACAGTAAGAATAACAATATTGACTGAGAATCTATTATGTGTCTGACATTTTGTATAATTTTTTTGTACCTAGAGATTCAGGGGTGAAGTGAAGCAGCCAGAGATGCTTTCAGATGCTTTTGCATGAATGACCATAGAGGAACTCTGTATTACTTATTCTCTTTTTTCATGAATGTAGAAATTGATAACTAGAGAATTTTTTATTGAGAAAAATTCTAAATAACCTTGAACCAGCAACTTAATATTTCTTTACCTTATGATGTATCCAAGTGTATATACAGGTAGATTAGATATATATAAGGGTCCTGCAGAATGTGTGTGCAGAGGTGGAATTGAAGAATAACTTATTTTGATGCAAAAAATTAAGTCCATGCATACTTTTCTCATAATATTCATTTTCTGTGAACTTTTTGAAGACCCATTATAGTAGAATATAATCAGTTAAAGGATCATAAAATATAGTGTGATAAATGTCCCTTTTCTTTCATAAGAGGGTATAGGTAATAGCATGCTTTTTAAATATTGAACCAAGTTGTATCTTGGCTTCTCATATAGTTTCAGCTATTCATGAATTTATTTTTCTTTGAAATATATATTTAAAACATTTGAGATGCTAAGTCCTTATAAAACATTGTGATTGGAACCATACAGATCCTGCAGATAGAGTGTGCAGTCCTAGTCTTGGTAGTAAAATAAACTCAATGAACTAAGGCCAATTGCAAATGAATACTAACTGAATTCTTTCAGATAAAAGTGAACAAAGTGAAAAATCAAAACTGCATTGTGAGATGTGTTAATAAGCAGATAAAATGCAACAGAAAAATTACCAACCCAGATTCTTTTTGAGTTATCTTGAGCTTGAGTATATGTGAATTATATTTTACAGAATCAATTCTTGTCCTAACAATTGCTCTGGTCATGGGAAGTGTACAACGAGTATCTCTGTTCCAAGTCAAGTATATTGTGAATGTGATAAATACTGGAAGGGTGAAGCTTGTGATATTCCTTACTGTAAGGCCAATTGTGGCAGTCCAGATCACGGTTACTGTGACTTAACTGGAGAAAAATTGTGTGTCTGCAATGATAGTTGGCAAGGTAAGCACATGTGGTATAATGGTTTTTAAAATATTGAGTCATTAACATTAATACAATTTCTATGTTCGTTTTCCTGTAGTTTGTACATCTGAGTCACATATATTTGTTTCTACTTTTATTTTAAATATTTATTTATTTATTTGAAAGGCAGAGTTACAGAGAGGCAGAGGCAGAGGCAGAGGCAGAGAGAGAGAGAATCTTCCAGTCCTCTGGATCACTCCCTAAATGGCCACAATGACTGGAGCTGGGCAGATCCAAGGCCAGGAGCTAGGAGCTTCTTCCAGGTCTCCAACACTGCTGCAGGGGCCCAAGGATTTGGGCCACCTTCTACTGCTTTCTCAGGCCATTGCAGAGATCTGGATCACAAGTGGAGTAGCCAGGACTTGAACTGGCACCCATATGGGATGTTGGCCCTGCAGGTGGCAGCTTTACCCGCTGTACCACAGAGCTGGCCCATTTCTACTTTTAGACTGTTCAAATTAGAAATTAGCAGTCAAATTTCTAATAATCTGCTTCTTCATAAATAGAATTGGTGGAGATTTTGCCTACATGCTGTTTTAAGGTTTGCATGAAATTATATATGAAGCTTATTTTAAATTGTGGTTATATTATCATTATGATATTTTGTAATTTTTTGTTGAATTGCCCCCAAAATTAATGATGTCACTGAATTTAACTCACATTGTATTCGAATTTTATTTATACTGGATAACAAATTGTATATTGGAAAAATAAATGCTTATATTCCAAGGTACGGCAGGATATTAAACATTTCTTAAGGAAAGACTGACCTCTTGTGGCTGTTTTTGAAAGAGCATTTTATTAAAAATAAGCTTCCTCAGAAAACAATTTCTAAATAATTGTCATAAGTATCTGTCATCAAAGATTAATTTTACACTTACACTGAAGAGTTTTGGTTTACTTAAGTATTTAGGTATAAAATTATAAATTTTGTAATTGGGGAATTAATTTGAGAAATATGTCTAGTTACCCATTTATTTACCCTCCCAGAGGGTACTTCGTTCTAATTGTATTTACATTTTGAGAGCTTCTTTTGGGAGTACATATTAAATTTGTTTAAAGTGGTAACTTTGACTCAGTATTTACATAATCCAAAAACTGTAGTATCCATCTGTGTTATAATACAGTATAGCTATGGTACCAATAGTTCTTAAATAATAATCAGTAATGTCAGTAATCAGACTTAAGTAATAGCTAGAGGAAATGTGCCCTTTGTGTGATTGTATCTAAAAAATGTCGCTGAAGAAAATGCTACTAAATATGCTAACTACTTACTTACAGGAATTATTTTAGGCTTTACATTTTTTTAGACTTATTTATTTGAGAGGCAGTTACTGCAAGAGGGAGAGACAGAGAAAGGGAGAGACAGAGAGAGATCTTGCATCCTCTGGTTCACTCTCCAAATGGCCACAATGGCTGAGACTGGGGCAGGCCAAAGCCTGGAGCCTAGAGCTCCATCTGGGTCTCCCAAGTGGTTGCAGGGACCCAAGCATATGGACCATCTTCCACTGCTTTCCTAGGTGCATTACCAGGAAGCTGGATGGAAAGTGGAACAGCCAGGACTTGAACCAGTGCCTATATTGTATGCCAGCATTGTGGGTGGCTGCTTAATCCAGTGTGCCACAACGCTGGCCCCTGGGCTTTGTATGTATTATGCCTTTTTTTCCCCCCAAGATTTATTTTATTTGAAAGGAAGAGTTAGAGGGGAGGGGGATAAACAGAGCTCTTCCATTCACCGGTTCATTCTGCAAATAGCTACAACAGCTGGGACTGGGCCGGGCTGAAGCCAGGAGTTTATTTCAGGTCTCCCACATGGACAGAGGGGCCCAAGTGCTTGGGCCATTCTCTGCTGCTTTCCCAGATGCATTAGCAGGGAGCTGGATTGGAAGTAGAGCAGCTGGGACTTGAACTGGTGCACATATGGGATGCCAGCATCACAGGCGGCTACTTTACCTGTACACCACAATGTTGGCACCAAATTATGCCTATGTTAAGCCTACATTATCTTACTAGTTAATATTAAGGATGCCAACTACATTAAATTTGGTTACCTATTACGTGTATGGCCTATACAAATTTCTAAGTGTTCTTTGATTATTTAAAATATTTTGTAGGAACATGTGTTTAAGTGAGTATTTTAATCATTTGTGACTCATCCTCACCAAGTGCCTCCAGATAATAATTGTTTTTTTCTTTTCAGTCTTGAAGCTGAAATAATGTCCTTTTCTATAGGGAGAATGGTACATTAAATGTAATGGTATTACATTTAAATTAAGGGAAAAATTGAAGTCTAAATTTATATACACAGTATTTTTTTGTCTTTGATTACATTAGTCTCCATTTCATTTTAGTAGCCTTGGGGTCTTATAATACAGATCTGATTCAAAATACTACCTTTGGTTTTTCTGGCTCTCGCCTATTGACCTTTTCACATTCTATTATTCTCATCACTAGTATGCCAAATCAGGTTTCTTAAAGGGAGAAGTAGAAATATAGTTCATATACACAGTTTTTTCCATTAAACTGATCCTACAGTTGTTTTTAGCTTTCATCTCATTTCAGTAGTTTTGAAAACAAAAGAGCAATACATTTGTACAACATTCACTATGAATACAGGATTCTATATTTAAGGAAGCATAGCCAAAAGTAGGTGGAATTATGACCACAATAATTAGGAGGAAATTGTACTTTTATTTCACATGTATAGAATGAAGAGGCTCAGAGATATAAGGAGAGAGCAAGAGAGGAGAGAGATTTGCAAATGAGTGGGAAATGATCAAAGAACTAGAGACGTTTGACTATGAAGGCTGCAGATGCAAATCTGGAAGTTGTATATAAGATGTTACTGGAATTCAGTTTTTTTTTAAAAGATGATTTCATTTTATTGGATTTTTAAGAAGACTTATTTATTTAGTTGAAAGGCAGAATTAGAGAGAGAGAGAGAGAGAGGGAGGGAGGGAGGGAGGGAGGGAGGGAGATCTATTGATCTTCATCCCCTGGTTTATTCCTCAGGTGGCCATAACAACCAGAGCTGGGCCATACTGAAGCCAGGGACTTCTTCTGGGTCTTCCTGCATGGATGGCAGGGGTTCAGGCACTTGGGCCATTCTTTGATGCTTTCTCAGGTGCATTAGCAGGGAGCTGGATCTGAAGTGGAGCAGCCGGGACTTGAACCAGCATTCATATGGGATGTGGGTACTGCAGGTGGTGGCTTTACCCCCCACACCACAGTGTCAGCTTCTGGAACTGGATTCTTTATGTTAGAAAAACAGATTGTTGTTACCTCTACTATATTTTATTCTTTGATATTGGTTGACTTTTGTTTGGCTCTATGCAGGTAAATATTTTTAAAATAATGTTACCTTTAGAAGCTAAAATTTTCTTAAGAGAACACAGAGGGAAAGCCTAAATTTATATAGTCTTGGATCCTGTTCCTAAGATTTTCCCCTTGCTGATCCTACTTCTTCTTTGCTTTAGTTTTTCTATATAGAACTTTTAGGGCTTCTGGTCAGCCATTGATGTTTCTCCCTTTTTAACTTTCTCATCTAATTATTTCCTAATCTTTTCTTCTACTTATTACTCTTTGAGACACTTTCAGATTACATAGCAGTATATCTAAAGGATAAATGGTACCTTTAAAGTCATCCCCCTTTTCCTGTAGAAAGCTCTCAAAGACCAAAAGCTAGGAGTGGATCAGTTAAGTTAGTTAAGATGCTGCTTAAGGTACTCATGTTCCATGTAGGAGTGCCTGGGTTTGATGTCCAGCTCTAGCTCCTGACTCCAGTTTCCTTTGGGTAGTCGCTCTGTGAGGCAGTGGTAATGGCCCAAGTAATTGAGTTTCTGTTACCCACGTGGGAGACCGGAATTGTGTTCTTGGCTCCTGGCTCCATATCTAGCCAAGTCCCAGCTGTTGAAGGCATGTAGGCACTGAGCTGGCAGATGGGAGCTCTCTCTTTCTGACTCTGAAAAGAAGAAAACAAAAAACTAAAAGTTGAAATCGTAAAGAATATAGAAAGTGCTGAATGGAGCACTTTGAGAAGCATCAAATTTAGTGTGTAATGTTTAATTTTGTCATAATTTAGGTTGTCAAATGATAAATACATATTAAATAGATTAATAAAAGTATAGAGACTCGAGTATTCATGTGAAGTTAATTTTAAAGTTAATTTTAAAAAATAGACTTAAAGGCGGGTACTTGGAACAGTGATTAGGAGGCTGTTTGAGACTCCTACATCCTAAATGAGATTTCAAGTCCTGGTTCTGCTCTGAATCCAGCTTCCTGCTAATACGCATTCTGGGGAACAGCAGTGATGGCTTGAATGCCTGGGTACCTATCACCCATATGAGAGACAGGCTTCTGGCTTTGGCCTGGCACTGCCCTGTTTGTTGTGGGGATTTGGGGGAGTGAACCAGTAGATGGGAGATCTCTGTCTCTATGCTTTTCAAACAAACAAACAAAATAAATAAATGTAATAAAAAATAGATTTCATTTTAAGAGCAGGTTTAGGTTCACAACAAAATGGAGCAGCAGGTACAGAAATTTCACACCTACCCTCTACCTTCACCCTCTCCAGATATCCTACTAGAGTGGTACATTTGGAGCTATTGATGCAAGTGTGTATGACACACCATTATCACCCAAACACTTTTGGTGTTGGGTATTTTATGGATTTGGTCAAATGTGTTATGAAATGTATCCAGTATTATAGTATTGTACAGAATAGTTCTCTAATGTAAAAACCCCCTATTCTCTTCCTACTCTTTATTCTCTCTCCCAACCACTGGCACCTGCTAATCTTTTTACTGTCTGCATAGTTTTACCATTTCCCAAATGTCATATACAGTAGCTCATTGCTTAGTGATGGCATACATTCTGAGAAATGGATCATTAGGTGATTTTGTTGTTGTGTGAACGTGCTAGAGCACATTTAACAGAGAAGGCTTCAGTGTCACTAGATGATATAATCATATGAGATTGCA